TCACGTTGAGGTTGGCTACGCCGGGATTCGTTTTCAGCAAGTAGATATCCACACAAGTGGACCTTGTTGGAGCATACGTAATCCTAAAATGTAGCATCGTGCTACAGATGGCGTTTACTGCGCCATTTGTACTATTTTCTAAAACGCACTGTTAAGACGGCAGGTAAAAGTTGGTCTGTGTACTGTCGGAGCTGCCTGTGACGCGCTGATGAGATCCAAAAAGATCGAAATCGAGATCCGCGTCTGGCAGTTTCGACAGAATACAGTCCGTTTCGAATTATTTTATACTAAACACCGTCATCATCATAAGGTCGTCAGTCCTAAGACTGGTTGAACACCCACCTCCACTTTTTCCTATCCTGCGCTAATCTTCGGATTTCCCTAAAGCTAATGAAACCCATATCCTTAACTATTTGCGAACAGTAATCTAATCTGGGTCTAGCTCTACCCCTCTTAACATCCGTTTCTGCCTCTAATATGTCTCTAACTAGATCTTCATGCCTGAGAAGGTGTCCTACTAGCTTATATCGCCTATTTCTTATTGACTTTCATAGATTTCTCTGTTCTCCCATTATTTCTAATATCTCTTCATTTCTAACCTTCTCTATCCACGGTATCCTCGTCATTCGCCTGTAACACCACATTTCGAACGCTTCTAACCTTTTCTTTTCTGCCGCGCCCACTGTCCATGTTTCGCACCCATACAGTGCCGTGCTCCAAACACACCTTTAACAACTTTTTTCGAATTTCTAAATTAACCGTTTGCGAGCATAGAAGGGACTCCTTTTTATTAAAGGCGACGCGACCCTGCGTTATTCTCTGCTTTATATCCCTACTACTCCTTCCATCCTGACTTATCTGACTTCCTAGGTATCTAAAATCAGCCACTTCTTCTAATTTTTCGTCTCCTATCTTTATATTCGCTCTTTCCCTACTTTTTCTTCCCTTGCATATCAGTATTTTAGTTTTACTTTTATTTATTTTCATACAGTACTGATCTGTCAGTACCGCTTCCATTTTATTTAAAGCTATCTCTAGGTCCTCCTTGCTAG